GAGCCTCGCAAAGCCTCCGAAGCACTCCCAAACCCCCGACCCTTCTTTGGACTTGAGGGGGCTTTGCAGCTTTGAAAGAAGGCTGGAAGGTGACAGTGTTTGGGGGTTCAGGGCTCACAGGAATAAACAATAGCGCAAACGACCTGGTTTTCGCTACGAACCAGCCAGTTCCATCCCGAAATCGATGTCGTTTGCTCTGCTTCCGGACCTGGTCCGGGGGTTGTGTGGAGGTTCCGAACAGGAGCAAAAGACCTGGTTTTCGCCACGAACCAGCCAATCGTTTGTATCCTTTGCTCTGTTTCCGCAACACTCCGAAACACACCCCCACCTGCTCAGACCCTGCGAGACCCTCCCAAAAACCCTCCCAAAGCCTCGGAAATCACCCTAAACGCTTTCTAAACCCCACTCAATAAAGCTTCCCCTCGTGGACGGTTGGGTTCTTGTCGTGGCTACCAAGACCTTGTCGTGTCTACGGCACTGAGCCGGCGGGATTTTCGTGGGTTTGCAGTACAAGATTAGTACTGGAATCGACGTTTCAATGAGTGTAGACTAAGAACAGCTTAGAACTGGACTTAACATTTTCGTGAGCCGGCTGGATGCTCATGAACACTGAGGGTATCCTTTTGATGGCGCCTATCGTTTCTCCTGGCATAAGCATGAAATTTTTCCTCCACCGAAAGAGACCTCTTACAACATCGTAGAAGTGGTCGATCACATGAGCTATGCCAAGGCTGTCCTTTAACGCTGCCACATCTCCCTGGGCAGCAAGGTGCACCAGCTGATCAACCTGTTCAGAGCTCGGATTGGACTCGCTGCCATCACACGCAAACCGAGCAGCCGAAGCATCACAAGACGTGATTCAGAAAAAATGCCACAATGTCACCTCTCCGAGATGTGGGTGCTCTAGACACTACGCACTCACTACACTCCCAACGCACAGCGTGGAACCATGGCAGCCTACTGCAGAGCATCTCGGCATTGGCCCCAGAGCTCCATTCTGCTCCGGATTCTTTTTTTTCCTTCTTTCCCCAAAAGAGTTGTCCTGGCGCACCTCCGTGGACATAGGCGCACCGTCAAACTCGGCAGAACGAGCTCGAGCTTCAGCCAAAACCTTCAGGATGGCACAGCTTTGGCACACAGCTGCACACCTGCAGACACTCCCTTCACTCAGACACTCAGACTTCAGACTCTCTCTAAAGCACCAAGGGGTGCAGACTCGGCGCCTTCTCGGGCAAGCCCGCGATCTTGGCAACGTTGTGCCCGTGCGAGGATGGGCACAAGCCAGGCAGGAACTTGTAGAGAAATGTCATCTCATGAGTGTTCTGGTTAACGGCTGCCGCCATGTGGTACGGCGCTACATATGTGGTGTCTTCAGCCGCCTTCTTCGAAACTGGATGGTAGTGGGTAGCAAAGAGCACCTCAGCGAACAGCGGAGACGTCGCTTCGAATCGCAGCAAATCGCAGCAAATCAGTCCAAGACTCTTGGCCCATTGTCAGCTAAAACATGAAAAGATATGCACAAAAGTTCGCAAAACGGCGCTTAGCGAGTCTTTCTGCAGAACTGCGGAGAAAGGGGGGGGGGGGGGGGGGGGGGCGTCTATTTGGGTCGATTTGGGTCTTTATGCTGAACCAGGGCGAAGCTTCTAAAGCTAGCCGGTAAGAAAGTCAGCAGAGGCTAATGTCATCTAATGTCCCTATTCGTCTTTTGCTTCCACAGCACCGGGCATCGCACGTGGGACTTCAGCTCGTCCAGGACGGCCGATGCAATGGCAGCCCCATCAAAAGTTGAAGTTCCACGCCCCAGCTCGTCCTGCAAACTGCTGATTTCAAGAATTTCAACATGTCAACATACCAGACATGTCAAATCATATCAACATACTAGACGCACTGGCACAGTGCAGGTCCAGAACGGCCAGGGATCGTGGTGTGCCATGTGTCAGGAGGGCAGCGGTCTCCTCAACCACATGTTTCTGCAGTCTGCAGTATCCGAGCAACTTATTTGCACAGGCTGCACGAACGAATCGTCCTCCAGCTCCGTCAGCAACCTAAGCAAATCCGAAGACAACTTCAGCTTGCAGGTGCCCAGATATCCGTCGGAAGTCCTCCCATCTTGCGCCAGCTGCAGCCAAGAGGCGTGCTCTTGCCCTCCAATACTGCGTCGTAGGCACCGATGCGGGTGAATATCCGGTCCACGGGGCTGAGCCTACACTTCTGTGCATTCACCCGGCAACCCACCTGAGCCATGACGATGGCAACACAGGTCTGGCGAAGGACCGTGGACTTGCCACCCATGTTCGGGCCAGTCACGATCAGGAGCCCAGGCACCCCGCAGGCATTCAGCAAGGTGTCGTTGGGAACGAAGGCACTGCCCATCTTTGCAGCAACCACAGGGTGTCTGCAGGCTCGCAGCTCGATGCTAGCAGCCTTGGAGGCATCTGAAGCCACAAACTCCGGTCTGCACGAAGCGCCTGGCAAGCTTCTTGATGCTGCCGCTAAGGACAGCAAGGCATCGACCTCCGCGACGCACCGCACCAGTGCTCGGAAAGGCGCATGATGAGCATGGAACTCGCGAAAGAGCTTGGACAGGAAGGGAAAGATACAATCTTCATGCTCGTCCTCAAGCTGCTCAAGCTGCGCGAGGAGCTCCTTGATTTGAGGAGTGTGGAAGCGAACCTTTCCCTTGACACGCGTGGTAATGTCAAGGCCCCGCAGCGTAGCAGCCGACAGCGCATGCTCATCGCACTCCACTTCATATCGATAACCCGGCAGCCGATGCACGAAGGAGAACTGCACCTTGGGGTAGGTTGCCTTGACCCGCTGAAGCTCCTGTTCAAGCTGGGACTTCACCATGTTAATCTGACGGGTTTTCTGGTCATAGGCTGGATCAGCCCCATCCTGCGGCCGGTACTTCACGGAGCCGTTTGCAGCGGTGGTTTCAACAATGCTTCCTCGCAGCTTGGAGATGACGGGCATGAGATCCGGCAGGATCCCCTTGGCCTTTTGCGGCCGCGCAATCATTGAAAGGCGACCAGGCAAAGATCCCTGCGAAGGAAATGCAGTGCTTAGCAGTTGGAAGCACTGCTCGTATGCTGACATGAGCTCTGCAAAGTGTCCCAAACGCCTGGCAGTGATGTCATCGTACATGACTGCCTTTCTTTCTGCCTGCAGAGCATAGCTCCAGATCCTGGAGGTTGCACGCTCAAGGTCCACCGGCAGCTTCGAGATCTTTCCACCAGCTATGCTCTTCTTCAAGGAGGCACTCAGTTGCTTGGCAAGCTGATCGTTGTGCAGGAAATACTCGACAGCCTCTTGGCGCGATTGGATATCGTCCAAATCAAGAAGCGGAGCACACACCCACTGTTTTAGCAATCGAAAGCCAAACGGCGTGCTTGTGTGGTCGAGGAATGCCAAGAGAGAGCCGTCATATCCACCCTCTAGTGTTTCGACAACTTCGAGAGCCGATAGAGCTGTGGCGTCCAGAATCATGCGCTTGGAGTTCGTCTGAGTTTTCGCGGCTGTTGCCAGGACTTCCCAGACTGCAAACGGAAGAAGACGCTCCGCCAAAAGTGCCCCTTCCAGATACTCCATGATTCCAGCAGCTGCAACTGCGGCACTGTCCTGCAACGGACAAAGCAACAAGACACACAACCTCAAAACAAACTACCGAACCAGAACGAATAGAACGAGTCGTTACATAAAGCGCATGCCAGCTGTCCTGCATGAGTACGTCCTCCACAGCTGCGCTGAAGGCCTTGGGATGTGCCGTCCGGTAATTGTTGATCTTGTTTCGTGCGCTCAATAACCCACAGTCTCCAACACCTTGGGAGGACAGTTGCGGCCTACATGGCAGTCGTTTCAGCAGCTGTAAGACTTCAATGGGGAGGTTGGCGGTGTCGTACACAACCTCGCTGGGCTGCAGTTGTGCCAGGAGCGTCCGCAGCTTGTTGCGATCCGATGCATCACTGAAATGGCCCAGCTGGATCTGAGAAGTGGCGCAATCGACCAGACATGCGGCAAAGTCAAGACCCTTTTGACCGTTTTGGCCAGTCTCAAAGAAGAGGTAAGCCAAGAATCGAGAGCCAGGCCCAGCAAGCAACTCTGGATCCACCAGGGTGCCATTAGTGAACACCTCACACACGTCCCTCTCCACGCAGGTGGGACCCTGTTGCTTCTCCGTTTTCCGCTGGTTCGTTTCCACGACACGCTCTACTTGTTCAACAACCACTACTTTGAAACCAGCTTCGACAATCCTCCTCGCATACTCGTGCTTTGCCATCTCCGGAAACCCAACATGTGGCTTCTTCTCTTGGCCCATCCACTTCAAGTTGCAGATTCGCTGCGCGATGAAGGCATCGTAATAAAAAATCTCGTAAAACTTCCCGACCTTGAACAAAGCCACTTTGTCAAAATGCTTTGCCTTGAGCTTCCAGTACTGCATCAACATCGGGGTATTGTGTCCCTGCGCCTTCTGATACTCTGCCTTGTCCTTCACGGGATTAGGTACCCAAAGCGTGCCCTGGTTGTAGCCGGGCTCTGAAGGGCGCAGGCCTTGAGCATCCCTGAGGTTCTCAGGCCTCAGCCAAGGAGGCCAAGAGTACTGCAGGCCCCCGTTCTCGAAGTGGTGAAAGCACTCTGCGGTGAAAGGGGGTATGGATCCAGGGGTCGACCTCTCCGCGAGCTGCAAGGTTGCACGGAGGTCCTTCGGACCATCCTGAGCCTGCTGAGCCTGCTGAGCCTGCTGAGCCTGCTGTTGCGTGGAGAAGCTTGGTGGCCCACATGGCCCAGGCTCCCCTTGCAGGCTCTTCGAAGAATCCGGTGCTGCGCCGTCTTTGCCGGGCGAACCGTTCGGCAAAGCCTCTTCTTGCTTCACCTTTTTGGGAAGCTTGGTCTCTCCGGGGACCTCCCCGGAGAGATCCCCGGGTTCCTTCAAAGACCGCTTTCGCGCCTTCTGGGATTGTATCGAGGGCGGAGTGCTCAGCTCCTCGTCCTTCAAGCATGTCAAGCCTTGTGTGTCTTTTGCTCGTTGCAACATCCTGCAGCACATAAGAGTATTAGAGTTTAAAGTTAAAGCAAACTTTTTCAACATCTTTAAACTACTTCGAAGCATCAAGGCACCGTTCTGCGCTGCATGTTTGCCGCCAGCTCGCGGCCCAGGTGTCTGAGGCGGAGAATTTGCCAGCGATGCTGTGTGCTGTGTTGCTGTCTTCTGAGCAGGCACAAAGAATCGGGCAATCGGCGACTGCGCAGCCATGGCGAGCTATACTTCTAACAGCATGAAATGAAATCTTCGGAAAGAAGGTCGTTGCACACAAACATGGTGGATCAGGTTGGCGCATTTCGATGATCAGACACTTCACGTTTGGAAGGAACAATGTGTGACTGAGATCATCTTCAGCCATGTCATAGGGTGTCTCCTGCTAGAAACAATCTTAGAGTGAGCCGCACAATGCATGTCATGCACAAAGGGACAAGTGCAAGTAGTTCGAGATACTTCTGTGTACGATGCGATCGCCGGGACTCTAATGCGTCGTGCATGAAATGGACCTGGACGTACAACTACGACCACAAACTCAACACCGACGGTAACGTCCTCCAACCACACTTTGCCCGCGAAGCTGGCTATACCATCAGCTCACCCGAGGCTACTCCACTCGAAGCGATGCTGATCTCCGCAGCCAGCGTATGTGCCCCCGAGGGTATGGAGAAGCGCACGTACTTCCCAGAGCCGGAGTCGACATGAGACCGCAGATCATCGCATTGCATGTCGCAGGATCGGAAGATGACGCTGCCGTCCGACACGGGCACGAGGAGGTGAGCCACAATACCGACAGGCACCACGACCTGATGGAAAGAGCCAGTTGCCCGACAAGGACTGTGGAATCAGGGTAGACTAGGTATAACTCGGTGTGCGCAATGCACATTGCACCGGTTGTTGGCTCAAGGCAACTGCCCCAGTCACTCACATGACATCTCTGATATTCGACCCAAGTAGGTTGTCCAATGCCCACAAAAACAATGCTGGGCTTCATGAAAAAACAGCTTTCGGGGCTGATGCTGCCTCAACCACCAGCGTGGGCTTCCTGGACCAGCTGAAGTGCACGGTGCCGAAGTCTGTACCGAGCGAAGCCGTCCTTGAAAAGCCACCCATGACAGCTTCACTCGGATCACTGGCTAGTTGCAGCTGGAGGGCACTTGGTCCAACTGTCCAACCACCATCTTCACATGGTGGCCCTGAGACAGCGAGATGCCTGCAGTTCCGATCATGGTTTCTCCACAGCACAAGACGGCAGCTGCTAGGTCTGCTAGGTAGCGCTGGCCCAGATCCTGCCTGCCACACGCGCTGTCAAGTAGTGGCCCACGGATGAATACATGTGGTGCGCCCTGGAGTTCATCCCTGGTCCCTGGTACGGGGCATCAGGCACCTCCCACATGCCTGGGACAGCAAGAATGGGCAGTACGCCACCACAAGACTAATGACTGACATGGCAACTGTCAATTGGCAGAATTCTGTGAACTCCGTTCAAGCTGAAGCACTTTCATTTGCAGGCTCGTATTCGTTGAAGTACCTGAATGTGAAGGACAAGGAATCTACGATGTCCCGTCTCTCCCGCCACATACACCGCGTTCATCAGCTCATCAACGCTGCAACTCTGACGAACCGTGCCCCAGACTTCTGAATCAGATTGCGACAAGCAATGCTTTTCCGACCGAGCCACATGTAACCATACGATGGGTAGTCCTGCAAAACGACAATTTCATAAGCAACCTGAGTGCATGCGTCATCGTCGTCGTCCTTCTTCTGCAACATGGAAAGCGCCGTAGCAGCAGCCCCGATGTCATGCAGCACATCAAACAAGAAGCGTACGGTGATGATGCCTTGAAACGATTATCGCATCTAGTTATGTTTGATTGAGAGAGAGAGAGAGTCAGAGAGAGTCAGAGAGAGTGAGAGAGAGATAGAAAACAAATCGAAGCTCAAAACACACTTCCCAGGCGTAAACATGCTGGGTTCCCGACCACCAGTCCAGGTGTTGCCGTGGTCAGCAATGTACCTTCACAAGTGGACACACATCGATGCGCGAAGCTCAGGCTTAATTACGCAGACATCGCAGACGGCACACTGCACAGGTGACCACCGTGGACGTGATGCATGCAATGAATCAGAAGCAAAAATTGTACGCTCTCGTTGCCGCGGCATGAGAATCATTCGCCTCGGCTTCCAGCCGAGAGGCGTCTAGAACAATCAGACCAGGATCCAGAAACTGTTTGCCCCCCCCCCCCCCTCCCCCGGCTTCAGTGGGAGGAGCCCACAGCCACAGACCACAGCCTGGAACCCCCGGAGCATCGCATTTCGGTTTTTCGGCGGTTTGGGAATGGATCCCCTTTCACACAGATCACGCCCAAAAAAGCACGAAAAGGCTCTGCCTTCCTGGACCCCCTTCCCTGCCTAGCACCCATTGAAACCCTCTGTTTGAGACCCCCCCTTGGAACCCTCCTAGGACCGTTGCGCATGCTGCACCCCGTGTTGGGCCAGCCCGGCCGCCCAGGCGGCGCGTGCAAACGCTTACAATTAGAAATAGAACCGAGGACCCAAGTTCAGATAGTTTCCTTCGTGTCGAACTCAGTCAAGGAGCACTGCCTCTTTCACATCTACAAGCTCTCCCAAGCACTTGCACTAAACCCCGTGAACTCTGCAAGCTGCATTGGTATGTGCATAGGGGCACTTGAGGAGCCCGCGTGAGACAGCTGGGACTTCTGTGGCAGGGACGGCGCCGATGGCCAAGGGCAGAACGTACGTCGCCATCACGCCGTTCGCGTAGGTTTGGTTGACAGGATTGTAGTAGCCTCCATGCTCACATGCTTGCTCCATTCGCAAGCTGCGATGGTCTGCAACAGATGTGCTTCGCATCCCTTCGGTCTCTTTCGGCCTGCATGAAACTCGCGCAGCATGCTCTGGTGCCAGTCATGCATCGCTTCGGCATCTTTAGCCGCGGAACCTGCCACTGGACGCCGCTGTACGAAAGAACCCCGGAACTTGACAACGAGGACTTTGTAAGACATAGCAACAGCATCAAGACACACCTCCCAAGGCTGTACCCAACTCAGCAGCTTGTCGCACGCTCCGCATCAAGGACGCCGCAGATGTGAAGCCCGCTGGGGGCTTCTCACTTGTCTTGCTGCCTGGTGTCCTGGAAACACTTTTGGCGGACTGCTTTCTCGACACATCTCGACACCTGCATCAGTGACACATCCCCGTTTTCTTGCCATGGGTCCTGGGAGGAGGGCACCAGTCGCCGTAAGACTGAGGCAGCTTGGTGATGTTCCTCAGAATCGTCCGCACACGCAAACTCCGTTTAACAGCACAAGTGTAGAGAAGTTTAGTGCAGGTTCAGAAGTTGAAGATCTGTGAGCGAGGCTCCCTGCTGCTGCGTACGTGGCACGAAGCTTGCTCACGTGGGCCTTCACGCTCTCCCAATGAGTCTGTGCTGGCTTCAGCTCGCCCTCCTGGGCATCTCATCTTGTCTCTTCGCGGGGCATATCAGATGCTAGAGCTTTCTGCGGTTTAGGGTTTAGATGGCGGTTTAGGGTTTAGGGATGTTTAGGGTGTCTGTCGAAGCATGATCCATGCTCAAGGAGCCATATGGTGCAATCAAGAGTCCTGCCATAGGGACCACAGGTTCTCCAAGAAAGCTGCACTCCAGGAGAGATCCGCCGGCCTCCCACCAAAGCGCTGAAAGGGCACCACATCCGGCAATGATCCATCTGCACCCAGCTCATCGACCATGGAGTCCACAAAGGCGGACACCTTGCTCATTGCACTATGCCCACAAGAGTCTGTGCAGGAAGTGTACGATACAATTTTATACAGTAATACTAATTGAATTGGGTACAGAGATACTACGAAACTCACAAGCAAAAACTGTCCACCACCTTCCGAATCGACAAGTCCAGCAGCCATGCTCTTGTAGTTCCAATGGGCCAAAAGCGATGCAGCCGACAGCGACGCGTCACCCATCCAGCCCAGCCGCTCATCCCGTTGAGGGCAGTCGGTTGGCACCTCTTCACCAAAAGGATGCTAACACACTGCTTCACTGTGCTACATCTACGTTGACACAGTCATGGTAGTAAAGTGCCCACAAAAGGGCCTGCATGAGGTTCGACCGCTGCACCCCTTTGGAGCCCATGTGGATTGCCTGACAGGGTAAAGATCGAAGATCGGTGAGCCGCTCCCAATCCGCAGCCATTGGCAGCATTTCTAGAACCAGTTTGAAGCATTTTGAGCCCAGGAGCCTGGAGAACCTCATCTCCGAGGGTCACGTTTACTTTGTCTGAGACGGCTGTGTTCATCACCTCAAGGAGCAAGGCGAAAGCAAGGCGAAAGCAAGGCGAAAGCAAGGCGAAAGCAAGGCGAAAGCAAGGCGAAAGCAAAGCGAAAGCAAAACGGAAGCGGTCCAATCTCAGTCCTAGTGGCCAATCGCTGTATGAGGTCCGCTGTCAGCTGTCCTCCCACGACAATCAGTGTGCGACAACCTTTCGGAAGGGCCCAGTGGATGCCAAAAACATCGGAACAGAAGGGAGTGTCCTGGAAATCCATAGACTTCCACATAGCGGAATCCATGGTATGTAAATCTGGGTCTCCAATTCTGAATGGGACCATCTAGGACCAGCGTGTCGTTGGCGGCAGCAGATCTGCAAGGCTGAATGAGCCAAACTCGTACTTTGTGTCCTAGGAAATGCTGAAATACCCTATCCCCTTTGTTGCCAAATTCTTTGCATCGCCTGAGATTGTCGAAGTAAACTCGAGATGGGTCCACTTTCTTCAGCGGCATGGCAGAATGCTGCAGCACCTCGCCTCGACAAGGAAAGTTGCTGTGAAGTGACATCATATGACATCATGAAACATATCCTGCAACTCCTGACCCGTCTTTTTGGAAGCCAGCTACCAAGTTGGGCTCCGAACTGAAGCAAAGCTGCCATGCTTCAACGTGACTGTCGCGGCTTGCGGCACAGAGATCTGGCACACTCCGGCCACGTTCGAACCAAAGTCAACCACATGAACGCCATCTGCCTAGGATCCGCAGAACTTGGCCGATCAAAACAACTACGAAACAGCTAGCCGTCACCATTTTGTTGTTAGCTGTTAGCCACAGGAGATCTCCCAAAGCGCCCCACTTGCGTTCCAGCTGACTGGCTGCGTGATGGATAGTGGATGATCTATACGGGTGACCTGGTGGGACAAAGCATGACGGCAGTTGTGTCAAGAAAGCCATTCCAAAGTGTTCCAAAGCTTCTGGCGGCCTGCACGCCTGGGAAAGATGCCGCCACCATGGTGCCCCGTGGGCCATGAGCCAAGGGAAGAGCCTCCGATGCCATCCAGGGGCCTTTGAGCAAGGATTGGATCCATGCGCACGTGCTGGAGAAAGTCGGAAGCAGCTGTTGGCAGCCGAGCATCCAACTGCACGGGGATTGTAGACTTCACCATCGTAGACAGAGTCCAGCGTCACCTCGACCAATTGGTTCTCTTTGCTTCTGTTTCGTCCTGTTCCCCAGTATCCAGCCTGTTTGATCAGTTTCAAAGTTTGGCAGAAGCAGCGCTTGCGGCCTACTTATGCTCAAGGGCGCTCAAAGTGACCTTGATTGTGCAAAGCTCGATGGCACTCGTTGCGAAAGGAAATGGCGAATGCATGTCCCAAAGGTTGGCAACATGACATGCGGTCGACATGCCGCTGTTCAGATGTGATAGGCCGAACTGTAAGTATCTCTAAGCCTTCTGTTTGTGGCCTCTTGTACACTGAGCAGGACGAAGGCTGTGGCAGCAGAAGACGCTGCACAGAACGATTACAGAGTTCAAGGCAGCACAGGCCATCACAGGCCTCTCTCACATAGACACAAGATTCGGAATGAAGAAATGCCAGAACAATGTTTCCAACCACGATGTCAGGAAGCTCAGCCACTGAATGATATGAACAACCGAATTGAGCACGAAACAGAACCAATACATGCATAAGCTGCACAAGTGCTGCTTACATCCTCCGAAGCCGACAACTCTTGTCGGGGCGTCTCTGCTCGGCCGAGGCGCTGCACCCTGGCGCCGCCGCCAGGCCCCAGGCGTGCCGGTGTGGAGGACCCTCTGCCTCAGTGCAAAAGAGGCTGCAGCAGCTACTGCGGCTACACGCGCGGCAATGAAGGATGAAGATAGCAACGAAAGCTATCCGCGGTAGCCAAGCCTGCGCCATGTTGCCCATTGATCCGCAGCTGCAATCGAAATGCTTTAGGGACCGTGTCTGTGTGGAAGCCTTCGGGTTGGTCTTTGTAACTTGGAAATCGGCCTTTCGGGTCACACCTCAGGGAAAGGAAAAAGGCCGGAATATGCCGGAATGTGCACATAAATTCGGGATTCCATGGTTGAAGCGTCAAAGCAAGCGTTGGCCCACGGACCTGTACCCGCATCCCAATGCGACCAGCAAACGTCCGCCGGCCGTTGCGTTCAGCAGCTGGGTCACTTCGTAGGTTCGGTAGAGGACACGCCGGTCCGTCCGGGTCCACCCTGCATACGAGAGAATGTCCTCCGGAAATTTGATGCTGGTTCTGTTCGTCGACGCATCAATGTAGACGTATACTTTGCAAATTGAATCTCTTCGTCGGCACCTGAGACACTTCGTGGCCGTTGATCTGCACATACCCGAAACCCAAAGTTGTCACCAGCAACCTTGGTAGCCACACAACTTGGGGGCATGGAACTGGGACATGCTCGGGACTGCTCATATACTGTTCTGGAACTTCAGGCCTTGCCACTCCACCTGGTCAGTCTTGCCCGCGTGAAAGTCAAATGTTGTTTCGTACTCGTTGGTGTCGTTGGCTCCCATCCACGGAATGCCCTAGAGTCCATGCATACATATGCATACCATGCAAGGGCCCCAAATCTCAACCAGCACAGATCAAACTCCCACTAAGATCGCCACTGTCCAGACGTCGTCCCCATCGGCAACCACAACATCAGAGGATGCTACTTCCGAGACCTCCGGCCATGCCATGGATGGGCTAAGAATACCAAGGTTGTACAGATTCTCTTCATGCCTCGCCAGCGGTGCTGAACCATTGCACCTGTTGCGAATCTTTTACAAAATCGTGGACACTGACCCATATGTATCAGATGTCATGTAACGAAGTGGTTGACGGAGGCCGCTGACAGCGATAATGGCTGCTCCTCCCACCTGCCATCGATACCGTCCTGGCAGAAGGTGCAGCTCGGCATGAGGAAGCCTGCGAGGTGCCGCGTTCCACACGGGCATTTCGGGCATCAAAAGCTGTGCATCCAAACCTTGCTGCTCAAAATATCGGCTCAGGCACGGTGTTGTGAATGTGCGGTTCAGCACTTCCCGACCACGCTGTGAGATTTGAAGCCAAAAGCCTTGCATGACCACACCACGCCTGGCTGCCATGCAAGCTTCTTCAGACACACATGCATCAAACCTACCACTGACAGCCGAGATGCCTTTCTCCAATGACAGGAGCAAAGGAAAAACGGACCGGATGAGAAGGAGATCTTGCCTCATGACCATGTGGCGAAAAAATCGCAGACTGTAGGGCTTTGGGTCTGACACGAGCAAGCAATCACATTCATCAGCATGTTCCAGCGACCGTGTTCACGCCAAGGAACGAAGCCTTCATGCGGCTGAAGCTGTGTGAGTCCCAATGGCTTGTCGGTGCCTGTCATTGCAATGTGATATGATCCGACACCCCAACACTTCAGTGGGACTCGTCTGTAAGGTACTGCCGTGCCTTGCCCAAACGCCGGGCACAAGCACCACAGCCCGCTAGCCGCCCAAACCCACCGCATCAGCGCTGCCATCATGGGCCAAGTTAGAAAGTCGAAGTTCCGACAACCTTGTAACATTGTAACACTGTAGTATGTGTTGACCAATATCTCGCTGCACCTCAAGTTTCAAACACCCGATAAACATGATCCGTCATCATCCGTCCTGACTTGAAACACAACTTCGACGGTGCGACTTCGACATGCCTAGACTCCGCACAGGGTGAAGTACTGCATGATTTTTAAAAACTTGTCCAGGCCGCTCAAGAACTCAGTGCCCATGTCGATCATGTCCACCTTGTCCTGAAAATCTAAACATCCGCCCCGGTTTCGAGAGGAGTAATTTCAAAACATGAAACCTGAAGCCCTACACCCCCTTAATGCTCTCAAGCGTGTAGTTGGCCAGCCGCTGTGCAGACCCCCTTGCCTCTTCTGCCATCTCCCTTCTGCGCTTTTTTCTGGTGGTGCCAGTTACGTTTCTTTGGCAGTAGCTCATGGCTTTGCCATGGCGCAATCACCGCAGGGATACAATATGTGCAGATTAAGTGAGGAACTCGGGTTCATAGATGGCTAGAGGATGCCAGAGGGCCAAGGCTTTTGAGCCTCCAGCTGAATCTCTGGACAAAAAGCCCTCTTTGTGAGGGACCACATCCCATGCTCGAGCTTGTCTCTAACCAAAATCCTCAAAGCAGATTCGGTAATCGTTGTTGACGGTTCGCATCCGTCTTTTGCTTTTGTAGGTCCCAAGGGTTCAGGGTGGAGGGCTGCGCCTCTGGGGCCGTGGATCCAGGTGGGAAGGTTTGGCGCTTAGGCCTCTGTTAATGAAGTTCACCGAATGCTCAATGCACAGGGCCGGCGGCCACTAAATGCCAGAACTCTACCCTGTGCAGAGAGGGGAAGAACATCCCCGCGCTGGGCTCCACCCAACCAAGCGGAAAACATGCGCGCCCAGCCGCGACCTGCACGTCTATGGTGTATCTTTAAGGCAAGGGCGCAGGGTTTAGGGTTCAGGGCTATTGCGGTTCGGGTTTGAGGTTCAAGGTTTAGGGAAGACGCACTGTGCAGTGCAGCAGCACTATTGAAACGACTGAAGCGATTAAACATGATGTTGCTTGGTGCTGGACTGTGGTGCTGACATATTTGTAAGTATGCCTCCCCCCTGTGGATGATGTATTCCTCAATGGCTGGGAGGTGCTTGTCTTTGTGCTGGGCCGCTTGGTTACGCAGGGGGGCGGTTTACTACACTGCACACTGTGGATGAAAAGTGGATGGGACCTGGGCGCACGCACGACACGCGCCCAGCGGGCGGGTGCGGGGGTGCGGGCGTGGGATGGCGTGCGTTGAGTCTGGGTGTGTCCGTGCGTCGGCGTGGGCAGGTACAAAGATCACTGGGGCCACGATAGCTGTTTTCATGGGTAGCAAGCAGTGCAAGTGGGTGGGGAGGTGCTGGGCAAAGTGGTGAATTCCTTCCACGCCGCCGAAGCTCTAGACCATAGGCACCCCGAACCCGACAAACCCCAACGAAAAACGTCGCCATCACACCAGCGGCTGCTCTTAAACCCCTAAACCCCAAACCCTAAGCCTCATAAACCTTGGCTGGGAAAAAAACACACGTGGACCGATCAACCCCCCAGACACGGCTCACACGGACGCGGAGATGTTGCACGCTCTCAAACAAGAAAGAACACTCTACAGGTCTTGGAACTTAGTCCGACAGCATGAAGCTCTACAAAACAAAAGTATCATGCTCAAGGTTTGGGCCTCGAAGCAATAGGAAAAACACACACTGCATCTGACTACAGACATGGACAGGCTACTACTGCGCTTAAACATACAACCTATACCCTGATAACAAATGGAAAGCCACAGAAGGAAGGCCTCATTGCCACCGGTTGTACAGGCGGCCTCAGGATTCTTGCTTGCCGAAATCTCAGTCTAGGCTACGTTGTCCCACATGTCTTATGTCTGTGCTGTCAAGTCTCACTGTGCATTGACTCGGGCGAGGATCTCCTTGGACTTCCTCACCTCTCAGGTCCGGCAACCCAATGCTAAACTAAAAGTTGTACTTCCTGTAGTCGAAACAGTAGTTTCGCTCGATTTTTGCTGGGTCTGGCTTTCGGATTCCTGGGGGCTGTAAAGTGCTGCGGCATTAATTTGTTGCAAACAGCATCCTTTCCAGGAAATGTCCAGGTGTCAGGCAGCTTCAACAACAGTTCATGAAAGTTCCAAGACCTGCACTGTCACAGCACTGCCCAGTCTCCCTATGCTTTTTTTTGCAGCATTTCCAGGTGTTGGGCAGCTTCAAAAACTCAATCTGTTTGTTGTAAAAAAACAACTCTGTAGCTAGTTGTTTTGGCTGCTGGGGTTGCTCGACCCCCTATCCAAACAAGTAATTCTGGATTTACTTGTTCTCTAAGGGTGTAGGAAGGAAACCATTGACTCTAAAATTAACTGACAGTCATGTTCCACACTCCTATCCAGACAATTAACTCTTTCTAAGGCTTGGGGCGCTCTGAGGGGGAATCACTCTGAATCTACTTGTTTGAGGGGAATGAATTCTGGACGTAATTGTTTGATTGGGGCCCTCTGAAGGGATTAACTCTGGACTTAACTGTGTGTTTGGGGCCCCTGAGGTTCCTTGGGGCCCTCAGGCTTTTGCCGGCTGGCTCTCTCTGATGTACTGTTGGCTGGCTTTGAAGCTCCTGTCTACTACATGCCATACGGTGGTTTTGGCGATCGGTGTTCCGGGTCTTGGCTGGATTCTGTTGTGCTCCTCTATGATTTGGACCCCCCTCCCTTCTCAGCACCAAATAGAGGGTGGAATCCGTGATTGCCACCCCCCGCTTCTCAGCTCCAAAAAGGGGGGTTGGGGAATGGGAGCTTTTAGCCCAAAACTTGCCAAATCCATGATTTCCGACCCGCCCCCCCTTCTCGGCTCCAAAAGGCAGGGTGGGAAAGAGCTTTGCGAAACGACGTACCCAGGACGTACCGATGGCTTACTCTTTTCCGGAGCACCGAAACAATTAAATCCGGAGTTAATTGTTTTAGAAGACCCAAAGTGAACTCACAACCAAAATCTAGTTTTAACTGCCTCTGAAAGCCAAGCATATACCTGCAAGAATTAGCTCTGCATTGAACCTGTTCCCGTCCTTGGGCTCGCGCCCCCTGACGGACAGTTCTTGTTTCATTGTCTTCCTACTGGAATGAGCGTAGCACAGGCCGCACCTAGGCTGCGGATGATTTAACTAGTACATTGTCAAGCGCTAGGCAGCAACCAAAACGAACCACAGCACTTTTCGGTGTCGGGCAGCATCAACAAAGCTCAAGACACCATGAAGCGCAGATTTTCTGGCTGTTCACTATCTCCACCCTCTCAGGTTTACGGGCTTTCCCAAGCATGCCGGGGCTTACACAGTTTCTGAAGTGCTCTGCGTCCCCACCGCAAAGTACAGTATGACAACGTCTTGGCAGCTTCTAACAGCTCATCAGACGTTCACTAGCTCGCGATGCTGTGGTTGACAAAGCTTCCGAAGCGTCTGAATCACCGAGATGCAAATGAAGCATGTCGGCTCTAGATGTGCATTACAACAAGCGTGCTTTGTCTGGAGCGTCCAAACGCCATAGCTTACAGCACACGTCGTGGACTCCATTCACAGGTGGATGCGCAGAACATACCCCTTCAACTGCACGCAAATCCGGCAGGGCCTTTGGTGCCACTTTCGCCACAGGGTGCACCTCAACAGCTACTGTAGGCCTTTCAAAACCCCGGAAACCAAAAAAACCTTAACTTGACACGAGCATAGAGCCAACCCTGACATCCTCAACCAATGTACCGTAAACCGCAACACCCAAACTCTGAACTCACGTCCAGGTTAAAGCGGGTGGACAGTTTTCTCCACCTTCTGCAAGGCATGTTTTCTTGTGCAGCCCCGTAGCAGCTCCAGTGGTCAGCTTGGCATGCTGTGTAGACCTGGGTTTATGCGTAGGCAAAGGCCACGCAAGTAGTTTGTCCGTGCAAATTCCGCAGCATCTCGTATAAACACGTGAGGGACCCCTACTTTTTTTTCAAGTATTTCTGCTACTACTATAACTTCTGACCAGTACGACGATTTTGACTCTCTTATGACTATGATGCCTTTACTGACGATATGACTACGATCTCCTAACTCCTTCTGTGAAAGATCCAGCCGCCACCTGCGAATCTCGAATCGACATCTCTATCGGTATCGCCCCTGTATCATCTGCCCCTTCCCCTTTCTCTTGTTCTGTTGTTCTGTTTTCATCGCTGTTGCTTGTTTTTGCTCTTTCGGTCTGTCTGACTGTATTTCACGGGACTTAGGGCCCCGAAGCTTGTGTGTATCTGGGAATGGAGATCGGAAGTCACCCATGAGCGACCGTGCTCGTGAGGGCCTCATTGAGCCCCTTGAGCCTCCTCCAGGCCATAAAACCGTTGACAAAGCTCCCAAAAACCAAGCCTCGATAAAACAACAACAATAGAAGCTAAGCCCTTTTGTTCATAAACTGTTTCATAAGCTCAACTTCCGGTTTCAATGCCCTAAACAGTCTTGGGCTGTCCGGCCGCGCCGACAGAGAGCCCTAGAA